GGTTTGGGGGGAAGAAAAAGAGGGATTTACACCTAAAGCCACCCATTCCCATTCTTTATCTACATCTAAATTGTATTTCTCTTCAAATTTGAGTTCATTTGTATTTCTTTGCTACTTCAACTCAAATCATGTAAGAATCTAAAGTAGCCAAGCTAAGGGGCAATATGTGCATATATGAAACATTCAGGGTGTGTTTGATACACTGGACAAGACATGATAGAACAAGACAATGATCCATGACCCATGTTTGGCATGACTTTTATGTGGAACAGATAGGAATAGAGTGAAATAAAGTGGAACATGCCTATTTCATCCGTACCCCATGGAACATGGTGGAACAAACAAGGTGGAATAGACTTATATTTTACCAATATAATCTCAAAATAAAACTTAATTCGCTTCTAAAACATCAAATATGTCTCATTTTTACATTTATTCATTCTTTAAATATAATTTATTGTATTTTATGTTTCTTAAACTTTTATTTTATTGTCCTCAAAATATATATTTTATACGCTTTCTATATTTTTATTAATTTATGGAATTTATTATATATTAATAATAATAAATATTGTAGAAAAGAGATAAAATAAAAATTGGAAACTACATAAACTTTTTATTTGGTGTCATTTTAATTGTTTTCATGAAAAAATTTCAAATAATATATTTTGTTATAAAAATAATTATTCTATTATAATTTAATAAATTACATAAATTTATTAAAATAAACAACTCATTAGGAGTAAATTGGTCATTTTATTTGTTCTGTTCTGTCCAGTTTTATCTTAACAAACGTTAAACAGTTGTTCTATCATGTCATTTTTGTTTAGTCCTGTCATGTCATGTCTGGACACCAACCACACCCTCAAGGATATATTCTTTCATTAATTTTGTTTGAAGCTTCATTTGATTAGTTTCCTTGTTTGTTTATCCTTGTAAGCTTCCAGATTTTTGTCTGAAACTTCATTTGATTAGCTTCTCTGTTTGTTTAATTATCCTGGTATCTTCCAGGCAAAACGCCCTATATAAAGCCTAATTATTGCTTCAATTTTTGACTAATAAGTGTTGTTATGTTGAAATTTAGTGGGTTGCAATTCTTCTGTTTTCAGAAAAAACACTTGAATGAGCTTGTGTTAAGTTTCTTTCTTGAGTTGAACTTTATAAAACAAAGTAGACAGATAAAGATGTTGGTCCTAGAAGAAATCTTAGAATGCTGTTTATTGCTTTCATTGATATTGATAAAAAAATTCTAGAAATCTTGAATGGTATTTCTTGTTTCCAATGATGTTGATGATCGGATGAATATTGTTTTCGTTCTAAACATTACAAAGAAAATCTCAAGGTTTTTTTTTTCAAGTATATCTTGAATATTATTTGTTGTTGTAGCATTTCTTGAATATTATTTTTGTCAGACTCATAATCTTTCCTTTCTCCCAAATAAGAAGAAATGGATGAAGAAGAACTAGAGAAAATATGGAAGCACTTTATTGCATGGTATTTTTCTTGCAACTTAGTTAGTTATTTAGCTTGTCAGTGTTTTTTTTCTCCTGTAACAACCTGTCAAAATACAGATGACGTATAACATATAATATACATATATCAATATTCAAAGTTGATATTACACATTGGGTTCCATAACTAACGAAACTATACAATCTTCAGAAATCTACTACATTATTTTTGCTGACAACATTCTCATATAAAAGATTCATAAAGCCACATAGTAAAAGCATATTTCAAAAGAAATTCCAGAGTCTCCACATTTATGCATCCATAATTAATAATGATCTCACAACTTCCCTTTCCATTGACCTCTAAATGAGATTGCCTAGAAATACATATTTTTCAAAACAAAATAAGGGTTAGATCATACAACAAAAACAGTTTATACCAAACTTCTATATTCAGTAAACATATTGTTGGCACTCAAGCACAATTTTAATCGCTCGTAAAACCTAGTAGGCGCTCAAGCACAACCTGACAAAAACATATAGTTGGCAACCAGATACAACTCGTCAATCATTTAGTTGGTACCCAAGCACAACCCGATCAGTCGCAGTTATAGAGCACAACCCATAGAAACAATACCTTAACACAATTAACAATAACAATTTACATATACCAATAAGGTATATTATTTCATAATAGCAAACCTTTAACATCATATGCATTTCACTTCAAAAGGTTATGGGAAAACTTACCTTGATTTGGTATAGGAAGATTTAGACTTTAACCGAAACGAGTTACCAAAACCAAACGCACAAATCTGAATCAAAGGAGCACGGGTCACAAACTAAGCAATTATACTCAATCCTCCACTTTAAAGAATCTATCGGGCTCCAATTGATACCCCGAAAGACCCCAAAACGAAAAAAAGGAAAAATGAAAATCACAAAACAATGTAGAATGTGACTTTCATACGACCAAAGTCGCATCAAACTCCCGTTCATCATTGGATGTTTCTTTTGATTTCAGTTATGCACTCCACAACCCACCCTTGCTCCCAACTTCAAGAACATTTTTGAATAAACGTTTATTTTAGATTTTTTTTTGCATGACAAATTTGATATATACTCTATAAACATATCTTGTTATTGGACATTTTTTTAATATTGTCATAAAATTTTTATTAAAATATTTTATTTCGTAACCGTCCTAAAAAGTTACGTTGCAGGACGTTCAAAAGACATAAAACTTATTACAACATTTTTATGTAAGGTGCAAATGGTTTTGTTCTATAAAGTTAAGTCTTATAAAACAGATTATGATACTTAGGCTCTGTTCGTTTTTACCTAAAAAGCACTTAATACCCTCTTATGTCTGAATCGGTCAGACCTTAGGGTATTAAGTGTGTTTTTTTTTTTTCAATTAAGAGCTTAAAAGGTCTGATTATGTCTGAATTATTTAGAGGTAACATTTTCACTTAAAACTTCTTAATTGCTTTTAGAGCTTCCAATGCTTGCAAATAAAGCCTAGATTTCAATGATTCAGATTTCATATTTCAGACGTAAAAACAAACAGTCTGACTGATTCAGATTTCAGACTTCAGCAACACCTCTTAAAATTCAGAAGTGACTTCAGACTTAAACACCTCTTAAAAAACAAACGTCACCTTATTTTTTTTATTTTTTTTTACGTTTTATAAACACAATTTATCGTAGTACACTCAAATAAATTATCGAAATGTTCCCGCAAAACCTTTAATGTATAGAAAAGTGATCAAATGTGGCATGCAAGCGGCAAGCCTCCAATTACTTGTCCGGATGGCTAAGAAACATATTCAGCAAATTGTTTCAAAAGTAAATTTGTTTATGTTTTTTATTTAATAAATGAAAGAGTATGAATATATTTTTATATTCATTTAGATAAATAAACGAATATGAACAATAGCTCTTATTCGTTTATTTATATTCGTTGTTTGCTATATTTGTTTTATATATATATATATATATATAGAGAGAGAGAGAGAGAGAGAGATTGGTTATTATACAACACTTTATATTTGTACAATCAATCTCAACCATCCATTTAATTTGATAAATATATGATTTCATAGAAATTTTTATTGTTTCATGATATAAAGTATTAATCATAATTAATGAACCATATTCATCATCCATAAATATTCAAATCATAATAAATGAACTCTCATCATTTCCATAAATATCTCAATTAATTGGGTTGCATTGGTTGTACAAATGGACATGGTTGCATTTGAAATATACCTTATATATATATTACAACATTGATATATAAAATCATTAATTAATTTAAATTTGTAGAATTCCTTTCTCATCTCTTTTAAGTTTATACCCTGTTTTTAATTTTGTTGTGTTATTTTTGAGGAACGAAATAATGAGTAATGATGGTTACTTTTTGTTTATTTGCGTTCGTTCATTTACATTCGTTTAGCATCTTAATAAATAAACATGAACAAACATATTTTCTTAATGAACGAACATAAACACAAAAAAATTGTTCGTTTACCTTTCGTTTGTTGGTTAAGTTAATGAAAGAACATGAATAAACCTTCATTCGCTTCATTTACAGCCCTAGCTCGACCCGAAATAATTTAATTATATATATATATATATCTTGACAGGGGTTATTTATCAAACGCTTATCAACAAGAATCATCACTTTCACTTACCTTATCTTGTAACTTTTTTTGCCATCAAAATTAATTGTTGGTAAGCGTCTCTTACCCGATAAGCATTAATCTAGTAAGAGTCTTATCTCTCATTTATCAGGTAAAATTCTCAATATTCTTACTATACGCTTCACCGGTGTTATAATCACCCAATAAAATAAATAACACCTAATAACATTTAATCACCAGACTTGTAAATGAACATATAATAAAGGGGAAGGTTGATTTACTTAAGAAATTATGTGCTTGATATAATTGCATTAACACACATACGTACATTATTGTAAATGGCAGTTTTTGCCGAGTTGTATAATTAATAAACCCACATAAATTAACGCTTTGCATTACATAATAAACAAAACCATTTAAATTTTCTTTGATTATATAAAATGTTAGAACCAAATTGTTATAATTTATATTAAATGAAATGAGATGAGATGAGAAGCGACGCCCCGACTTCGACACCTTCCCTACAGACCTTCCGATTTCTCCTAAGCTTTTCCCCAAGAAAAAAGACCAGAGATTCCTTCTCTCTCCAATTTTATTGAGTATATATATATCTTGTGTGTGTGTGTGTGTGTATATATAGATATATATATATATATATATATATATTCCAAGTTTATTCCCATTGCCAATTCCAGTTTAGATCCATTTCTTCTCGTACAAACCGGATCTCCTCTGTTCACAGACAAAACCATCCGAAATTTAATCTCCTTGCCACCCCAAACCAATTCTCAGTCAAATTAATTAACCAAAACTACGTCAGGGAAGGTTTTTAGCGAGAGAGAAGAATGGTTATGAACAATGATCCAAGTGATGTTAGAGATAAAATGCAGAAATATCAAGAATATATTGGAGCTTTAGAAGAAGAACGTAGAAAGATTCGAGTTTTTGAACGTGAGCTTCCTCTTTGTCTCGAGCTTGTTTCTAAAGGTAACTGATAATTTTTTCCCTGTAAAATTGAATACAAGCGGTTTCTCACACAGTTGTGTGTGACTAATTTTCCTAATTTGGAAATCGATCTTTTTGACAGTTTTGTATGTAGGTTCTTGGTTTTTTGGCTATGTGAACTGGTTGTGGTTGGAAAAGAAGCTCCTGATAGTGATTTGTTTTGGTTACATATTCACACAGTACACGCTCACTGTGTGTGATATGTTCCATTCCAAAGAACTTACTTCTCTATATTTTGTTAGGTACTTGATTGATTTCTTGATGATCCAATTCTTAATGAGATTTTGTTTGTCGGTGGAAATCTACTTTTGCAGCGATTGAAAGATGCAGACAGGAAATGTCTAGGGATTGCTTTAATGTTCAATCTGATCAGTATTCTGAACAAACATCGAATGAGGGTCCAGTTCTGGAAGAATTTATTCCCATTAAACGAAACTTATTCACAAATGAAGATGAAGGTGAGGGGCAGCAGCAACAAGAACAACAGCTATCTCATAAATCCAAGAACATTTGCAGCCAAGATAAATCATCTCCATTTTCTTTGAAACCAGACTGGCTTACATCTGCTCAACTCTCAATTCAATCCCCAGATCCACCCATCGAAGAGGTAACTAAATAATTAATCAAATTTTGTGATTTTTTATGGGGTTAATTTGATTAAAGATTGGATTTTTATTATGATCTTGATTTCTGTTGTTTTTTAGGACTTATTGTCGAAGAAGCTTTTTGCTACGGAGGTAAACAGAAATGGTTACGGCGATTACCATCCTTTCAAGAAGAAGAAAAGCTCTTGTGCAGCCCTGACTACTGGAGTAGAGAAGTCATTGACTTGTGCGGCCATGGTGCCAACTGCTGCCGTCAGTTCCTCAGTGGACACAGACGGTGGTGGTGGTGATGGTGGTGGAGGAGGAAGTAAGGGTGAAGATAAAGGCAAGTCTAATATAAAAGAAAGGAGGTGTTGGTCGACGGAATTGCATAGACGGTTCCTTCATGCTCTTCAACAACTTGGTGGTGCCCATGGTGTGGCTTTTTACCATCTTTAAAGGACTTAGTTTTTTTCTGATCATATTTACTAAAAATCGAAGTTACAGTAAAACTTATCCATAAACAATAACTATTTGCCTGCAGTTGCTACACCAAAGCAAATCAGGGAATTAATGAAGGTTGATGGGCTCACGAATGATGAAATTAAAAGCCACTTACAGGTTTGTATTTTAATTTTATCGCACCCTACAATTTCATTATACCTAGTATTTGATGATTAATCTAACAGCATATTAATGCTTACTGAAGAATCCAAATTAACGTTCTAACTTTTTGCTCTTAATACAACAGAAGTATCGTCTGCATACAAGAAGGTTGAACCCTACAATCCACAACAACGACCCACATACTGCCCAACTAGTGGTGGTTGGCCGGATATGGATGCCACCCTTGGAATATACCAGAAAGGCCGCCTCATTTCCACCATCGGGAAACACCAACAATGCCAAAGTAGTATATGCCCCAATTGCTTCTCTACCACCATCTATTACTGCATCTCGATACAAAACAAGACAATGCAAGCAACAATCCAATTATGAAGAAAAAGGTAGCCAAAGCCATAGCAACTCGCCATCCACCACCACCATATCTCCGGCCTTCTAATCTTCATCGCTACCACCACCTAAATGTTTTTAGAGTGATAGATGTTGAAAATTTGTGAAAGGCCATTGTACTTGTTATGCTTGTTAATTTTCATTCAGTAATCTTTTGAAGGTATAGGATTCCATTCATAGATGTTATTTACCTTTTCTTTGTTGTTTTTAATCACTCCACAATTTTACAAATAGAGGGTGTCGATCATTACATTTGAGACAAAGTAATAAGGCCTTGGAAATTTGAATGACGATACAGTTTTACAAATTATAGTTTTCTGTACTAATTACCCTTAATTATTTTTCTCTATTTTGGTCCCATGCATGAAGATAGAGACGATGAATTGTTTTAAAATCAATAATATATATCTGCATTAGTTTGTTTAATTAATACATCCTAGCGATTTTATAGGAAACATATACCCACAAATGAAACAAATTCAACATCTTTAGATTGTTTTAATATTCCCGTCAGACAAGACCAAGAATAACGATGCTCACTTCAACAAGAAACATAAGTTAATGAATATTGTTGTATCCAAATGTCTGCAAAGCATATTAAAAGTGTTTCTAGAAGACTTTTAGAAGGATTCAACGTTGCAGTTGAAGTTATAGATAAGCATTCAAAGAAAATCAGCATTCTGCAGAATCCAACTCGTAATAAAATCTCGGTAAATCTTGTTCTCCCTCAAAGTATAAATATAGGCATCGTCAAACCATTATCTGGGTGTGAGAATTACACGAGCATTCAAAAAGTTATACAATCACAAATTGCTCAATAGTGTTCAATGTCCAATATCAAGTTCAATATTCAACTTAACTAGAGACACAATTTATTCCGGAGATGAAGTGCAAAACAATCAGGCTTTGGGAGCTAGATAGCCATGCAGCACAGAGGTTTGCCAACACATTGTAGGAACCAATTGCAAGCTAACAAATCTTATAAGAGGAGGTCTTATAAAAGATAAATCATTACTTACTATGTTTTTTTAATCGTTGATGTTTGAGTCAACTTGTGCATAACTCGATTAATTTGATGTGATCCTAAAATAATATAACAGCCAGAACGAAAAATCTCTATGATATGATCCTCATACTCATCTAGCAAGTAACAACGTATAGGGAGAAAGGCCCAAAGTATATTGTACTATGTTGAATATATGATGAATTGGTAATTCTCCATCTAGTCAATTTTATATATAGTCAATTTTATGATACAGCTAGCAAATTGCATAACGATTTATTGTTTGATTGTGTTGCTTTATTTTGCAGTGTTACAGTTAATATTGCAGCACTTCCCACACTGCACTATGTGTCAAATACTACATACCTAATATGAGATATAAGCGATAAAAGGCATGGTTCATGACCACATTAATAACTACATAACCACTCTCCATGATCACCTTTCATTTCTTCCAACCGTAACAACTTTGTTTTTATTCCTATATATATTGGAGAACCATTTTTCGAAATCTCTTCTTTGAAAAATGAACTTTCAAAACTTCTTATTTTAGGAAACCAAAATGAAAAACGATTTTGTTTTGTTCCTATTTCATGGAACATGAACCTGGACACTATGGGGCTGTTTGGCAATTGTTGAATGGTTTGGTGCAGAATGATTAAGAGACTCTCATGATATAATACAAAATAAAATATAATTATTTGGTAATTGTGTATAATAAAATTAGGGCTCTTAATGGTTAAGGGAGTTTCAGAATACAAAATCATTCAGAGGGTTTTAGAACCATTAAGAGCAGACTTTTTTTTTTGTCAAACAAGATTCACCTCTTAGCGATTCAGAGGTTGCCTCTTAATGGAACTATTAAGAGGTAAACAAACAACCCCTATGTCTCTTAAATGACATGTTTTAAAAGTCAGTTTTTTAAAATGAGGATTTTAAAAACGTTGGTTTTTCAAAATAAGAATGAAAGTAAATTTGGTTTCATTTTTGTGCGTACATATGCCTTGAAGTAAATTTGTTGTACATTTTATTTCATTGTAATACATCAAACATATTGAGTAGTGACTAGTGAAATGTTATTGAAAGTAAAGTATCTGCTTTATTAAAGATTCAAGCTGAATTTTTTGGTTAAAGATACTCCTAATGCCCGATTTAATTTATTTTATAGAGTACGTAACCTAAAGTAGAGGGATGAGTTCAAACCCCTTTGCTCCAAGTGAAGTAAAATAAATCTTTAATTACGTATTTAATTTCATATATATGTTTGAATTCTTTGTTAAAGTCCAAAGAGAATTATGGATTATATGTATGCATTGGTGGATGTATTATATCAAAATAGGTGTGGGAAGTTAATGTTTTAGTTGGAATTTTGGTCAAACTTTTTGTTTTCCTTCTAACTTAAAAACCGTGAAGTTACCAAACATAGCATAGATTATTAAGTTAATAATTTTTCTAATGTTATAATCATAAAATTAATTTTTAAAGAAGACCAGATATTTCTAAGTATATAACTTGATCTTAGTGTTAACAGACACAACTTAAACCAATGGGCTAAGTTCTCGTAACATAGGTTAAAATGACAAAATTTATAAAATAAACCATATAGTAAAATAGTTTTTCTTAATTCATATATACGGTTCGTCCTCAAAAAAAAATTAAATATAGTTCACATTATTTAAGGCAAAAAGTATAAAACCACACATGCAAGAATCGCCATGTTCAAGAATAACCGATGACAGAAGATGCAAAATCTTGACTCTTGAGCGAGAGATGTCATCTCTTTTAATGAGAATGACCCTTTATATATGGAACCACCAATTAAATTACCCAAATACCCTCTTTATCGTAATTATACGTGGTACATTATTCTCTCCTCGATAGATGGTAAATTAATGAAAACAAAACATATTCAATATATGAATCTAAAACACTATTACTTAAGAACACATCAAATAGGGGCAAGATAGAGACGAGGTTCCATGTTTTGCATATGGTGGCTATAACAAAAAAGCATTAAAAATGCAAAATTAGAAATGTTAGTTTGCTTACTATTAGATGTTAACATGTTTCGGTGTTTGTAATTTAGTATTAACTTATTCAAGACCATGAATACTCTTTTTATGAAATACTTCATAAATATATATATATATATATAACAGCATTGATACAATAACGTTACATTATTTTTTTTTAAATACGATAAAAAGACATCTCAAAAAATTATATGAGCAATTTTTTTCGTAAATAATCAAGTTAGGGTATATTTCCTCAACGAATGACTACACAATTAACATAGGTTTCAAGTAAAATAGAGTTGAAAAGTAAAGAATAAATTCGATAATTTAATTAAACATTTCAACTAATAATAATCTATCCATCCATCCACATCTATATATATATATATATATATATATATATCTCTCTCTCTCTCTATATATATATATATATATATATAATTTCAAAAATATATAAAATGATGTTAGACCTGGCACATCGATATTAGAGACGATATGGAGAAAGACATCACATAATACTATCATTTTCATCCCCACAAATATAAGACAAATCGCATGCCATCCCCAACCTGTATTAAAGCATCCTAAACTTATTTTGTCTCAAAATACGAAGTCTTTGGTATTAAAACAATTTTAGTTTTTCTAGATAAATACCTACGTGTTTTGAGTTGTATTTATTAACCATATATAGTATAACCACTTGACAGATGATGTACGGATTTGGTTTTAAATCTTTCGTATGATTATATTATATGGTATACATTTGAAATAAAATTTTATTATACTTGTTTTTTTGAGTGATTTATCATAACATAATTAATCCATATCTTCTATTTTTCATATAAAACGAAAAACCCCTTTATAAATTATAATTTATGATTTCATTGTGATATCTTCAGAGTTTTTTTGTAAAAAAAAGGGCTGTTTCAAAAAAATTAGTAAAAATATGGGTGATTTAAAAGTATTTGTAGAAATATGAGTGTTTTATGGGAGACCCACTTTTTTATAATCTTATTTTATATATTTTTATTCTAAACCTTGTATACTTACATATTTAACCCTTTTACTTACATCTTTCTTTTTATTTATTTTTATTGTTTTAATTTTTTTATTTTTAACCCTTATTATATATTATGTATGAATTGATTTATTTAAAATATAAAATTAAGATTTATATATTATTTTTAGTAAATTACATCATTAAATATATCTCATTAATACCTTTAAACTAATACCAACATTTAATATATTACAATTTTAGGAAAATATAATACAAACTAAACGATAAATTAGAATACGAACATATTAAAATGTTACGAAATTACGTACAACATTACAATAAAAATTAAAATGCTAAAAAAACATAATGCGAATTAAACACTAAATTAAATCATTACAATACGAAATAAACACTAATTAAAACAAAACAATACGAATTAAACACTAAATTAAAACATCAATTATAGAGATTATAAGTTCACATCTCATTGAATTTTGGTTGAGAATTTGGACAATTAATTTCTCCTATTATGCCCAGGTTGGTGGCATAGTCCACATCTGCGAGGTTTTCGTCAGGATGACGAATGTCCATCTCATTGTTAAGTAAAATTTATGGAAGCCGTCTTCAAGAAATTGTTGAGTTGCACAAGGACGTGGTATAAGACAAGAGAAATGATGAACATAATATAATCAATAATATGATATCATACACAAAAGAATCAAAGACTTTTTAAGTAAAGAAAATATTCGAATATTCGAAGGTAATGAAGCATAAGGTTTGTCAATGACTCAATGTCATTCCCATTTGATGAAGTATATTCTTCATTATTTTACATTATCATTGTAGCTAAGTAGATGAACCATTTTCAATCCCTTAATTAAATCTTGCCTTGTTCAAGGATATCCTTATGGCATCTAAATCTTGCTTTATTATTTGCCTAATTCATTATTTTTATGGAGAAGGCAAGAGGTAGAACTTTAATTAATACCCAGATCATTTGGAGATAGAATCAAATCAGACGCCCTATTATCTCATTATTAATCTTGTTCTATCTCGATATGTTTGTGTAATATATGAGTTTCGATTCGTTTGGTTTCAATTTCTAAAGTTGTGATGTAAACATGACTCCAAAGGGAACTATACAAATTTGTGAACAAGGGTTCATGATTTAGAGAGAATCTTTGTAAACATTGAGAGGTCATATGAAGCCAACCATGAATCAACATGATGTTAATAGTTTATT